TTTTCGGCCTTTTAAAGGTGTCATTGCTAGAACGAAAGTAGAGGCCTGCATATTTTTCCATGATTTTTTAATGATTTATGTTGAGATTTACGGAGTAATCCTTAACTCCAAAGGCACAACACCTTCATTTGGATTTTGACTGGAGTATTTAGTGGATAATGAGCGATGAGTAAGCACAAGCAATAAATGGCAAACAAGAAGAGATATCTGGCGAATGGGTTGTCTTATTCAATAACTAGCGGAGTATGCACTACGTGCGAATGGTGCCCAACATTTGCGTACCCTCTCATGAAATTGTTGTACTAATCTTCATTTGAAATTTTATTCAACTGCCTAAATCTACCTTGTCTCTTTACGGAGTACATGATACTCCTTCCGTCCCAATTTGATAGTCTCATTTCTTTTGGGCACAAATATTAATAAAGTGGTTGAAAAGTTTAAAGTTGTGGTTGAGATTTGAGTATAATAAAGTGAAATGATTTTGGGACATCAATTCTTTACAAAAAGGGAAACAGGACCATCATTTTGGGACATCCCAAAAAGGAAATACAGGACTATCATCATTTTGAGACGGAGGTAGTACAATTTATTAGCTACTGAAGATGATCTTTTATTATTAAAAGATCTTTTATTAGCCAGTACGTAAGAACTTACCATGAATATGAGGTGTTAAAAAGTATGCCTTCTAAACATGAAAACATGGTTAGCATGGTCTCTATTCTATTCAATTTGACATTTCATTTAGATGGAAAAATCAAAATAAGATAGGTTATTCTTTTACAATTATCAAACCGCCATTAACAGGCGCCAACCGTACGCGAAGGTTATTACATTCACTTCCAAATGGAGAGGATCGGTATGTTTCTTCCCCTTCTCATTTTATTTTGAGACAATTTCTTCCCCTTCTCATCTGATTCTGCAAGAACCAAGATGTATTCTTCCCTGTGGCACCTCCATTTCTCAATGCATCTATTTCTTGTTAAGAATAACTCCTACAGTATGCACTAATTGCATGTTATCTACTTTCATTGGCTCAAATTTCATCACAGACTTAACAAATACACAAACAAAACTAAGTATGCTTTAACTTAGCAGAAAATAGCGTAATGCTCTGCTGAATTGTTGTACTTGAAGAGTGTCAAACAGATTATTACAATCCTACAGCACTCAAAGTTCGTGTAGTTATTACTATTATATGGTCAGACACCTAACGTTGTCTTGCTTCAGGTTCACTGCTATTTGAGTTCACTTTTAGGATGATAAACACTTTTAGGAATCACTAGAATTCTTGTTATTAAACTTTGTGTTTAAAGTGGATGTAGGTTAACGGAAAAAGAACCATATTAACTGGAGGTGGCACTTATTATATAAGGGGAGATGTAAATCATGCGATTATTTCATAGCACTAACTGTGACTGTTTTAGCAATAACTATTACCATATTTCTCATCCTTCCCTTAAAAATAACATCACAGGTGCTTCTTCAATACATCAACACCATTGCTTGAAATTAAAGCCGTACAAAGAAAATATGTAGACTGGAAAAGCTTCTAGAAAAACACATGTATTATTCATATGCAAATGACTTATTAGTACAAGGTGTTTTAAATAGTTATTATTCAGTCCACAAGGAACATCCTAGAAGTTTCAATCCCTGCTACCAAAAATAAGTGAAAAAGGCAAAAATGTTAACTTCTTTGTATATTTCTATGATAGAAGGATGCAAAATAAAAGCTAGGTTTGAAAATTGTTGTAAAAAATCTATGACTAATATATCTTGGATGAATATGTTCAAGCCAAAAAGCAAAATGAAAACTCATTCTAAAGAAAGCAACGAATGTGATTAAAGTTTCAGTCCACAATGAACATCCTAGAAGTTTGAATCCCTGTTACCAGAAATAAGGGAAAAGGAAAAACTGTTAACTTCTTTGTATCTTTCTATTATAGATGGATGCAAAATAAAAGCTTAAGAATGCTTTTTTTAGGAAGCTTAAGTATGCTTGTCTTCATAGATTCTATATTGATTAATCTTGATTACAAACACTCCAAAAGAAATGTTATAATTAGTATGTTGTTAACATATAAAATGGATATTTTGATAAGCAATAGAAAATGAGTATTGCCTAATATACACAATGGGTAATTGAGTATTTATTTTTTCTTGCAAATGCTAGAATGTCAATTACTCTTGAACAAAATAGCATATTACTCTTTATTCTGCACATTCTATGCAAGAAGATATTTTCCATATTTATATAAATCAATTAAGTAAACATGTGTGTAATTACTAAATCTTTACCAGTAAGCAAAATTGATTCTTTCTAAATTTGGGAAAGTATTCTTAAGTGTAAATCTAACGAACACTATTTAAGTCATTGTATGATTGAATTTGTGTTCATAAGAAGGAAGTATTACCGAAAGTAACCAGTTTTGCAAAGATTGTTGAGTGAAACCAGATTTTTTGTGTGAACTATTGTTGATTTGTTTAGGCTTTTTGTCAAACACTTTGTAGGCGTGAAACCAGTTTTTTTAAACATAAGAAGAAGAAGGTGACCTTTTTGAAGCAGCAAATTGTTCGTTTGTAGCAACATTCAAACAAGGATAAACCTTGCGGGTTGGAAAACTTCATATTGAATTAATTGACAAGAATTTAATGATCAATTGCAGCCCACAAATAAGAATTTGTCTCCTTATATATTAAAGCCATCTTCAATCAGAGTGTTGATAAAAACACTACTAAACCAATTAGTAAGAAGGGATTACCTTGTTTGCAGATTTAAGTGACGCCAAAGAAGAATAGAGTAGCAGGTTGAGAGAGGAGAGGGGTGTTTGAGGGATAAGTGCACATTTCTAACATCTAATTCCTAAAGATGTATTTTTTTGAAGTTTTCTGGGATAGCGCAAAACGGAGTTGGCAGGTCCGAAAATGGAGACTCTGGACAATGTGAGAGCATTTCGGAGTTCACTCCTCTGAATTCGTATGTACCGTGATGATTTATTTTGTTTGGCCTCAATTTGGTTGGTGAATTTTTCACTTCTCATGTGTTTTATATTTATTTATTTTTTAAAGAATTTTTTTGTATTTGTTATAAATCATAAGTTATTCAACTTAACTAAAAATTGTACAATATTGTTCATGAATACGCGTTTTACAAAAAGTTGACTCATTCAATTAAATAAGCACACGTTTTACAAAATTGACCCAATAAATATTTTGAACACAAATACAGAACCCGAATAATAAAAACCTAACCATTAAAAAATGTGAACCCAAAAAATAACAAAGTACATCGATTAAAAGTATCAATATACTTAATCAATGTGACGAGTTTTAAAAACAGTTGACTCATTCAGCATTATTAACTTGAAAGTAATTACAAATACAGTTTACAGTATCACGTGTTTAATAATAAGTGACCCATTAAGTCATATGAACTCAAAATTAAACAAAGTTCATAACATATTAAAAGTACATTTGAAACATATGGCTAATAAAAGTGTTACAACATTAAAACAAACTATAAAGAAAAGAAATAATACACCATAAGAGAGTACAAATGTGAATCAATCATGTTGTGCTCTGCGTCTTGGACACATATCCATCTCATTTGGAAATCTTGTTTCTTGACGGCGTCCTACTCGAGAAGTTCTGGAAGAGTATTTAGGTGGCAGAAGAATGAACTCATTTTGTGGCCACTCATTCAGATTCGGCAATGGCATGATATCACTGGAATGTGCATTTATGTAAGAACTTAGTTTGTATACCTCTGGAATAAGATGATCAACAGGGCACTTAAGAAAATGACAGACAGCATGCGCATGGACGCATGACATGCCGTTCATCCTCCAACAACCGCACTCACAGATAAGTCTCGATAGATTCATCGTAACAGGTGTTGCATTATCCACGGCGACTGAGTAAATTCCTGTGTAGTGGTTGTGTGGAAGAACCATAGTGTGAGGTCTTTGGTGCCAACGCTCCATAATCTCTTTCCGAATGTTGTCCGGAAAATGATATCCAGCTTGCTGCCACATCATACCAGCACTACGACGTTGGACGAAGAGCTGGACTAGTTTGTCAAAAGTTGCTCGTACAAGGGCATTGATTGGCAATGTCCTACATCCTTTGAGAGCATTGTTGAAACTTTCCGAAAGATTTGTTGTCAAAATACCATAACGACAACCACCATCAAAACAAAGTGCCCACTTTTCTTGGGGAATGTCATTTAAATACTTGAATGCTCTCTCGTTAGTACCCTAATTTGTTGCACGAAATGGTTAAACTCACTTACAATCGGGGTACTTCCCGCTCGCCAACACAACTTCTTTAGTTGTTTACTTCTAAATTAGGACATGAAGTTGCTTCTAATGTGGCGAAGACAGTAACGTCTCTGAAATCGAGGTGTTCCCAATTCTTCCACATTCCGAAATGCATAATCTATAACCGCATGCCTATCCGAGATGATGCAAACATTCCGATGCGGCCGTATGATGTGTGTCACAAGCAACTGTAAGAACCACGTCCAACTAGCACCATTCTCACTATCTACCACTCCAAATGCTAGAGGGTAGATTTCACGATTTGCATTCATTGCCACCACGACTAGGAGATGACCCTTGTACTTTCCGTACAAGTGAGTTCCATCAATTGACACAACCAGAAGGCAGTGATTGAACCCATCAATGGCCGCTTTTATTGACCAAAAAGCAAATTTAAATTCATATGTACCTTGGGTGTGGGTGTTATCACTTTGAATATCAATTATGCTCCCTGGGTTAGTATACGCCATTGCTTGTAACACTTTTGGGAGATCGTTGTACGATGTCTCCCAATTGCCAAACCGTTTCTCGAGTGCTAATATACGAGCATACCACGCTTTCTTATATCCAACATGTGGGTGAGCATGAACGAATCCCTGAGTGGGACGATCAACACACGGGTTTGTGAGCCATCGTTTTCCTACATTACGGTACCACTCGCGGTACTCATCACTAATGAAAGGACCTTCGTCAACCCACTGAAGTGGGAATATTTTGTTCCACCGTAATGCCCATTCTTCAACAAGCTCGACCATGAATCGTGATCCACTATTGTGGTGACGATGCCCTGCCACAACCGGAGCGGGTCGATCCTGATATGCGTTGAATTGACGACAAAACCTCCTAGGATAGTGTGCCTCAGAAAAACGTGTATAAATCAATGGAACCTCCGCAGCCCACAAATCGTTCGCATCATGACAATATGCTGGAAGGTTCATCAACGGATAGGGGATCCATTCGAACTGAAAAATATCTCCCAATTAGTAAGCACACATAGTTATTTATATCATTTAATTTATTGAATTTGAATGTAACAAATTAAATATCATGTAAAATTGAATTGTACAAGTAACAAATTATACCTCATCTTCCGTCATCCGATCTAGTTGGTCCCTATATACCCGTAACGAAAATCTGTTTGTTTGCTGCCAATCATGTTGACACGCCCACCTAGATTTAGTTTCCATGAACAATAATATAAATAAATAAATAGCGTAGATTAAAAGCATAAATAGCATCTTGTAATACAATAATCAAAGTAACATATATAATGTATTGTTTATTTAAACAATACCTAACAGCATACGGAAAATCCAATATATGGTCAAGTGGGAGATGACCTTGGGGCCGAACCATCGGCAATCTCTCTCATGCCCAGATTTGTAAAAGGATTAAACATCCTCCAATCTGTTTAGCCCCTTATGGTCAAGTGGGAGATGACCTTGGGCCTTGGCCCGCCTTACACATGGTGTGATACAGATAGGCCAAGACCGCTGAGCCCCAGCTTCATCGGCGCACATCTACTAAGTTCCCCTGCAACAACTCCAAGAAATACCAACTAGTCATGTTTCCACTAGTGGTAGGGAATAATGAACCACCTAACAACTGCCAAATGAGGGCCCTAGTGTGTTGAGTCACCTCGTTTTCAGTGCTCCAATCGGTTAATGGAATGTGGTGGATATTCGTTACTTTTATGGTAGCTGAATTTAAATCATCATCTTCTGGTATAAAACCAGCAGACTGTGCACACATCTGCAACAACGATGCCTTATCAGTAATCGTGGGACCAGTGACTGGTATGCCGTCAATGGGCAACCCCAACAACACTTGCACATCCTGTAAAGTCAATCCTACCTCATCAAAGGGCAAATGAAATGCGTGTACCTCGGGTCTCCACCTCTCCACTAACGCAGTCAGAAGTGACCAATCTAACTGTACTTGTCCTATTCTCTCGACACCGTGAAACCCAGATGCTCTCAACAACCGTACCACCCCAGGATGACGCGGACCATCATCAACATAGGCACATGACGAATAGTGATGGCACCTCAGTTTGTCATCTCGAAATGCTGATTCGTGCCACACACGATCGACACGATGCTCACCGGGTATCATAACTAAAACAGAACGATCCCGAGGGCCAGGGTGTGCAACTCGTTCAACCATTACAACCTACAATTAATACGTAAACAAATACTAAATTTTTTATCATGTTTTTAATTTAGTGTTAATAAATGTGTTCAATAATATTATGTAGTTTAAAAGTTCTACAATTATTACTACTAATGGATATGAAGTAAGTAAATATGAAAAAGTTCTACAATTATTACTACTAATGGAATAATAAGAACAGATAATATTAAACTTCTTTTTGTAATAATAATAATAATAATAATAATAAACTCTAACCTTTGAACAAGAAGCCTTGTTTGTTTTGTTGGTGTGAAAGTGTGGGAGGAGGATAGGAGATGTTGGTGGGTGTGAAAGTGTGGAGGAGGAGTAGTATTTATGCTGAAAATATTATCACGGTAGAATCCGACGGACCAATGAAAACGTTCGAAAATCCTATCTTCTGCATTCGGAGTTGTCAGCTCCGAAAATGGCTGACATTTTCTGACGACAACGCTTTCGGAGTTGTCAGATCCGAAAAGCTTTAAAGCTGTGTCGACCACTTCAAATTCGGAGTACTGAAATCCGTTTTACTCTTTTTCGTCAAAAAAAATACATCAACGCGATTCGGAAACACCTGCCCAAATTCTACTCTATTCCGTCATTTACTCAGAGGAGAGTGACATACAGCGGCATGACAATGTTTGATTGAGGTTATAGGATTAAGACTGCCAACCTTTGTCGGTGATCGAGTGTGAAGTAACGAGTGTGAAGTAACGGCAGGTACCGATTCGGTGCTGATGGAGGGGGTTGTTTAACGGAAAAGAGCAAACTCTGTGTTCAAAGTGGGCGTAGGTTATCACAACACACCTCACTGCAAGCGCGTTAGGCCCATCGTTTATCTAAGCAAAGAAGAGGGGGTAAATGCTATTGATAGGGAATATAAATTGTCAACCACTTATAATGAACCTACATAATGCAATCACTATTTTATTTTTTTATATTGTATATATCTCGATGACTCGGGTCATCTCTAACAGTTTACACCATTTTCTACACTAGAATAGTGTAAACATCACATCATACAGTATTTTATTTCCAACAGTTTACACCATTTTATCACCAAAAAGGAATATTCCCTTTTTATTCTTTTTACTAACTTTTTACCATTCTTCTATTTAAGTATCTAATTATCATATATTTATACATTAGTCCTTCATTTAATATTTTGACATTTCACACATTATTTCACACATACAAACTAAAATACACCATTTTAATATCTATTTTCACACATTTCACTAATTAAAATACAATAATCAATATTTCACAAATACAAGCTAAAACCACATAAAATTAAAAATTACAATAATATTGTACGTAATAATAATTTGTACGTCATTAATAAATTACTACTTAAACTTAAAGCAATACATCTATTTGATGGTCTTGGACGGTCTGGAAGCAGGTTGAATGACTACTAATTTCTAAATTAGTATGTTCTATGTATGTTTTAATTATGTTTTAATTTTAATTATAATGGTGTTATTAATTGTAATTTTAATTATGTAATTTTCTTAAGTATCATTTTTATTGTGTTATTATGTTGTTTGGATTTGAAACTTTATTTACAATATTGTGTGCTTTAAATTTTATTATATTTTTTATTTTCTATCAAATTAATAATTTTAATTACTTGTTCTATAAGGATGTTTTTACTTGAACTGCAATTTATCCCAGATCAGATCAAACCGGATTAGACCAAACTTGGGTAGTTAAAATAATACAGAGAAATCAAACATGACCATATCAGTTCAGATCAGACCAAATCATACCAGACCAAAGCAGCAAATTTCAGTCCAAATAAAAACATCCTAGTTTTTTGTTTTAAAAATGGATCAAAACTATAACTATCAATACTTTGGGTCACATTTTAAATAAAAAAAATTAAAAAAAGAAGATGGTGTGGGATTTGGTGTACACCATATATGGCGTGAATTTATCATCTCTCCACCAAAATGGTGTAATGGTGTAAGATTTGGTGTGATTGTTGGAGCATTTTTTTGGCAAATACACCATTTTGGTGTGGGATTTGATGCTTGTTGGAATTGCTCTCAATAGTATACCACAAACATCATTTGTTTAATGAAAGATTGTGTTTAAAATGAAATGAGATTTTTATGTAAAAAGGCTAACAACAATTCATCAAACAACCACCATTGGAACAAATCATGCTTGATAAAGGAACATTGAGTTCTAGTTCGCGTAAGTTTCAATCGAGTCAAAAAATATGTAACTTGAATTGGTTCAAGTTGAGTTACAGTATAAGTCGAGTTAGAGTTGTATATTCGAGTTCCATCAATGCTAAAAAATACTATCCTCCGTATCATAATAATTGCAACATTGGAATTTACACACTATTCATGTATTCTACTTTGAATACATATTATTTATCAATGTATGTGAATTATTTTTTAAAAAAAACTATTGTTGAATTCGTCTCACTACAAAGTTTCATAATCTGATTTTTAAAAGTTTTTTACTTATAGAGAATTAAATATAATGAAAGTCAAAGTTGAACATTGGCATGCGTGAAAAGGGGAAAGTTGCAACTAAAAAGAAACGGATGAAGTAATATACTCCCTCCGTCCCATATTTATCTCCATACTTACTATTCACATGGTCAACTCAAATTACTCTTTATCAGACTTTGTAGCGGATTTAATATAGTTTCTGAATATGTAAATTTAATTTACTAAAAATAATCTGAATGTGAACAAAGATCAAGTTGCTTTATCGTGAGTCTGACATCGTAAACCGAACTACAGAGATAAATGTGGGATAGAATACTAACAATCATACAATCATAAGCAGTTATAAAGAAGCAGATAGAAAGATATGTCGAAGATAAAACGCGAATCTGGTATACCGTATGAAAACCGGCCGCTGCTCTCCCTGGAGAAGGAGAGCAGCGGCAACCCTACTCTCTCTATCTTTACGCCTCTGCATCTCTAAGCCTCTCACGATTAGCTAGGTTCCCGTAAGTTAGTCTCCTTTTATAGGAGAAGTTGGCTAACTTACGGGTTACAAGGAAGCCCACGGGCTGATACACATTTGTGGCCCGTATTACACGTTTAATTAATAACTACACAAATACAAAGATAACTAACTAGATTGAACATCATAAAATATTCCCAACAATCTCCCCCTTGGTGATCAATCGTGTTGAATCAGCATTGCAGCGCAGATATCTTTGTCTTTGTTGTTATTTAGCTTCCTTTGTCTTTGAACTTGACTTCTGAGGAAGGCTATCTGAAGGAATCCTTGCAATCTCCCCTTTGATGTCTTCTTGACAATTTGATCTTTGATGCCGGGGGTTGAGGGACCTTCTGTATCTTGCATGTAGTCCTTGCCTTCCAGAAGTTGCTCTTGATCAGCTTAGATGAAGTCCGGTGACGCCTCTAGAATGAATATTCTTTGGAGAATAGGAGACGTCCATGGAATTCATCTTCAGGACACGAGTATTTGACCTCTGTCTCCTCCACAATGTAGTCTTTTTGACTATTTGGAATGAATGCATTTGAGGAGAACTTGTCGGTGGCACAGCGGAATATAATGATGGTTGATTTGTGAGTGTAGCTGACCATTTGATTTGAGTTGCGGAGATAGTAGAGAGGGTGTTGAATTTTGTGATGGAGGAGTGAAGTGTCCCAGAATGATTTGTTCAGTGTTAACAGCATGTGGACCACTCTCCCCCTCATGACGATCCGATGAATCGGGACGTCATGCTTTTATTCTTTTATTCTGCGGAAATAAAAACATGAAAAACAAGCAGAATCTAAAAAAGATAACGTAGCCCCCCGGGGTCGTGAAGACGCCCGTTATCATCACTATAGAGATAAACTCTTAAGCAATGGCCTGAAAATGTTGGTGATTCTTATGTTGCAACAGCAGGACTTCCTTCCAATCATTAGTCTACATCTGCAATAGATGAGACCTATGGAAGTTCTCGCGGGTCATGTAGACCTGCAACTGACTCTAAAAGTGCGTCTGTGTCCTAGAAAATTTCAAAACATTTGGGAGTGAGTAACTAGACACGACGTGATCAATGAAAGTTCAGTGGCATGGGGCTGAAGCCACTGTAGTCAGTATTACTTGCCTCGGAAGGAGACAGTAATGAGAGATGCGGTTCCCCGTGAACTATGATTAAACACCTGTCTGTTGGGAGACAAGTGAGTGGTCTAGGGTAGGGTTGTGCATGCGCCGTTTGGACAAAATGCAGCGACTTCTACCCGGGATCTGAATAAATTCAGTCCTGAACCTATGGGGATAGTCCAG